AAAAGAAGAATTACTAGGAACAGGCTTAAATTCAAAATAAATACGGATAAACTAGTAGTTATGTACAAAGAAAAACGGAAGACTACCAAAAAAATAAGGTCAAGATGGGCGACTGGGGAGACCGTACGCGCAAAGTTAACGGAGCGGTTTCGAAACAACAAACTGCACTCTTTTCACTGCGAAATTATATCTGACAGTCGTCAGCACTACGATCCTCTTCGTACTGACATATTTTCGACCTTAGTACTGTGTTTTACCTTAGAAACACTAAATTACTGAATACGCAGTAACACTGTTAAATGATCGTAAGAAAATTCTAAATAAGAAGCATACCCGACTGCTCAAGCCCGCAAATGATAACTTCCGGTTGCGCAGTGAAAGACTTTTTTTCGCTTGCAGCTCAAAGTCATCTTCACCAGATGACTTCTTTTTCGGTTCCGAACCGGATGAAAGCGGTGATGGCATCCGTGCGCTCTCCGTATCATGATCCTTGAATTTGACACCCTCGTTAATTGTTGCATACAGTATCGATGGCGAAACATCAGCCGCTTCCTGGTCAAAGTCCTGCACCAAACAAATTTCGTCAAAATTGAAAAATCCAAGGGTTCCCATTTTCACAGGGTGCTCTGCGCTCCATAAATCAAAAAATGCAGCCCAAACTAGCCAAGCCAATCCATGTCGACACCATCAAAGACAGACGGTACTTTTTTCTTATTTCTGCTCAACACAATAACAGCAGGACTACTCGGAGAAATGGCATGAGAATTTATTATTAACAATATTAGAGAGGTGTTCCCTCACAACAGCTGTGCCAGGCCTCTCGGTCCACAGCCCCAAAACTGCCTTCGACTCTGCCCGCTTCAAATCTTTGATTTCTTAATAATGGACTTTGCACGATTATTAGCTTCGCCCATTTGGTTCGAAAGGTACTTTCATTACAATTTCATTCCAGCTACAGATGCATTGTTTTATGTACGTTTCCTCCCGCCTCCCCTCTTTTCCTTCTTATTTCATTATCAACCTAGGCTTGTTCAACAAATATGCACCATATCTTCGAAAGTCACCCCAGGTGATAATTCAGTCCCTTGTACATACCACACTTTTTAATATACGACATCTACCAGGTGCCAACAAAACGAGCAATGTGTCCTGCCCATCAAACTATATTTTTTTATACGATCACTGTGGCATCCTGCAAATTGCTAAACTGACAGAGAACTTGTTCAGTTCATAAATTAGTCAAGTTTGTTTTCTTGCTTTGATTAGGAAGTTTCACATACGTACGTCGCTGATTTCAACACAA